TATATATATATATATATATATAAAAAAAATATATATATATATATATATATATTTATTTTTTATTTTTGGCAGTGTTTCTAAGATAAAACAATATCAACAATATCAAAAAGCAATGTAATGTACATTTTAATGTCTTTGCCCCTGTAATCTCAGTATCTCTGTATATGTATAAGCTACTGATGTACCTGTTCCCCTGAGGCAAAATGAAGCAGAACAAATTTGTGATTTAACAAAAGGCTCATAAATGATGGATGGAACCAGTGGTCATGTCAGAGGTACAGCTCTGGGAACAGAATTAACCCTCTTAAATGACCTGTGTCTTAATGTGGTCAAAGTATGTGGAGCATGCATGCTTGCAAGGCTCACCACGCTAACGCTAACACACTAGCCTGTCAAGAACATGTGTTTGGGAATTCAGGGTGTGTCCACTACAACACAGGCATATCAAAACAAAACAAAGAGCTGAGACAAAACCAAAGGCGACAAAGAATATGGCAGGTCTAAAGTGCAGGTAATTAAGAAAACAGTGTGAGAGAGCTAAGACGTGTAAAATGGTGAATAAAACAATCAGCTTAGATCGCATTAATGTACTTTTTATAGTTACACGATGCAGTTGGTCATGTCGTTTTATGTGGCATGTCAGCAGGTTTGATAAAACAACAGCTGAGCTTTATTACCATTTAATGCTAAGCAATGACCTATCAAACCTACAAACCAATGCTACAAAACGACAAAGACATTTTGGCTTCAAGATGTTAGGGGAAACATTAGGACTTAACCAGGATGTGTGTATGCAAGCTGCAAAACTGCTTCATTCTTTTTGTTCATCTCTGGAAAATCTAGAATGAGCTTATGATGGTCAAAATGTAGTCTAGGAAGTTTTTCACAAGCCTATGATGCAAAAAATAATGGTTAGGCATCTTAAAAAAGTACCATGGCACAGTGACGGTCTCAGATGGGAAATAGACACTATTTGATTTATACTGTACATTGTGATAATTACTATATTAATGTACCATAGGTCCTCCAAGGTCCTCCAAAGAATACCATGGTACTACAGCAAAACAGTTTTATTCTATTATTTTCATTATTAATACTTTTATTCAACAAGGATCCATGAATTGATCGAAAGTGACAGTAGAGGCTTTTGTTAAACACTTTCAAATAAATGCTGTTTTAAATTTTCTATTCAAAGAATACAAAAAAAGTATGTATATACACACACATACATATATATATATATATATATATATACA